AACCTATATCCTAGGCTATTTGTATTATCAACAGGGAGGCATAATACTGTCAACCAGATGGGGACATGGATAAGCGGACAATGGTCATGGAGCCTACAATGGAGGCGAGAGTTGAGGACATGGGAAGCTGCAACAGAAGATGAGCTAAGAAGAATCCTTTCTAGAGTGCAACTCATACAAGGGAAAGAGGATAAATGGGAATGGAGCTTCGACACAAAAAATGGCTACTCTACAAATGTAGCCTATAAGCTTCTAACATCACCCCACAATGGACTTCAATTGGAAATTTACAACAAAGTTTGGAATACAATGGTCCCGAGCAAGGTTAGTGCATTAGTTTGGCAATTGATTCAAAATAAATTGCCAACAAAAAGCGAGTTATTTAAGAGGGGGGTATTGAGGAGCTATAATGAGATTACATGTGACTTATGTGGAGAAGGGGAAGAAACAGCTACTCACTTGTTCCTACACTGCAAATATGCACATAAAATCTGGAGTATGTGTTTGAAGTGGTGGGGAGTTCAATCATGCTGGCTGGGGAGTTGCTGGGATGCATTTCATCAGCATATGGATTTCTTTCTAGATAAACAGACAAAAGAAGGGTGGGAGGTTGTATGGTTTGCCTGTGTTTGGTCCATATGGTTGTCTAGAAACAATCGGATATTCAAGGAGAAAGAACTTGAGGCTGCAAGGGTGTTTGAAGTTATCCAGATTAGATCTTGGGAATGGATAAAAGCTAAAAAAAAAGGGTTAGGCAATTCTACTTACAGATTGGATGAGATACCCAAAGGTATGTTTGAGATAAGGGTGGTAGAAAAGAAAAGGACGTGAATGCATAACAATAAGAGTTTTTGGGTTTAAATGAATATATTTTGAAAGTTGAGGGCCCAAATTGCAAGAAAGAAGGTGTTATCTTGTGGACCTAAATGAATTAATATTGAGTTTTGGGATCTAAATGCTCATTATTTAAAACTTTGAGGACCAGTTTTGCAATTCTACCAGTGAAGAAATTGCAAAAGAAATCCCACACGGGTGTGGTGTCGACCCATAATTTTGGTGTCGACACCTTACGGCAAGCATCCGAATTCACAGTTTCTGTTTCTTTTTCTGTGTCGACAATGTGCAGGTTAAAGTATTTTAACAACTTGGAAGTGCTCTTGGATTAATATATCAGAAAGGGCTGCTCTTGTAATTTTATGCCTTTCAAGTTTCAAGTTAATATATTTATGAGTTTTTGGTACCTCTTATACTCCGTTTTTAATAAATATTACTTTTTGCTGTTAAAAAAAAAAATGATTTATGAAGGAATAGAGGAAACTGTGTATAATAATAACAACAACAATAATTCCTTAATTGAGTTGTTTATCAACAAGCAGCAGCATTCTAATATGATATTCCAAATCCTATAATAGAAATCAAGCAATGTCATAAACGGTCTCAAATTATTCAGTAAAACAGAAGATAAAATCCTACTGCTGCCAACTGCCAACCATTTCTGATTTCTCAAATCAATGAATTGAGAGCCTTCTTCCCTCTACTTGTTTAGCAACGTTTCCTTTACAGTAACTTTGCCTTGAAGAAGGTCATCGCGAAGCTTTACTGACATGTCCTTCACCGCGTCAGGACCATGCAGGAGGAAGACATGTGAAGCCTTTGAGGATGTACCAATCTCCTTAATGGTGTCTAAATATTGAGTCACGAGCTCCATATCCATCACATCCTTGCCTGTTGTTCCAGGAACATGTTCGGTGAAGGCATGCACACTGTCCCTCAGTCCATCAATAATTGCCTTGCGCTGCTTAGCAACGCCAACCCCTGACAGGCACTTAGACTCTACATCTGCTTCAGCTCGTTTTATCTGCAATTGCATTTCTGCTTCAGCTTGTTTGATCTGCAACTGTATATCTGTCTCAGCCTTCTTCGCCTTTATTGTAGCTATAAACATTCAAAACGAAAAGGAGAAAATCAATCAATACTTGAAATATGGTATAATTAC